ATCAGATAGCTCATTTCAACTTAGTACAGGGCCATTATGCTATAGTCTTTGTATTATCAGTCTTGAGGATATTTTCTATTAAAATGAAAATTTGTCCTAGATGTTAACTTTGAAATTGAAATGGTGCAATATACAGAAAGCTGATAGTTTGATATAAGAATGAAGAAAAGCGATATTCTAGAATTTGACTGGTTTATCCACCAAATGAAAATAGCAGGAATAGCAAACTTGCATGAAATTTTGTCCGCCTTACATCAACTGAAGCCGCTAAACTTGGAAAGTATGCTTAAATCTGATCTCAAAGGATGGAGATGTTGGGCAGCGTAAGAACATAGACTGACTCGTGCATAGATTGACCCATGCTTACTCGTTGTACTAAGAATCTAGGCTATTTGGAAAATGGGACATTCAACTGATTCTATTTCTAACTATGTGTATGTGTGCATGCAACTCCTTGTAAATTGACTATAAAATATTCATAGTTCATCTTATTTTTAATGCTGGTACTAAATTACAAAAACATTGCATATGTGCATGGTGTTGCAAATCAAATACTCTAAGAGGTTAAACTGTTAGATGTAGATTTGTGAGTGGTTTTTATTTCATATCTCCAACACCATGCTGGTACCTTATGTACAATCTGTTTTTGTCATTTTTCCTCTCCGGAAATAATTTTTATTTATTTATTTATCAGGCATGGGATATCTATTATCATGTATTCAGAAAGATAGATAAGCAACTTCAAAGTCTTGCTACTTTAGACTTGGAGGTAATAGTGATGCGTAGTCATTCAATTTATTTTTGTCATTGTTATGGCCTTATATTTTGTTTAAACTTTGTAGACGGTTTCTCCAGAGTTGCTAGAATGCCGAAATTTAGAGTTTGCCGTTCCTGGGACATACTACGCTAGTAAGTTAGTTTTACTATTTCCTTGATATCAAATATCAAATTGCATGATATTTATGTTCCATTTGGAAGTAGAAATAAGAAAATATCTAAGTTTCTTTTCTATCGGCTTCTAAAAACTAATATTGTGACAATGATTATGGATGTTTCAGAATATTCCGGGTTGGTGGATTTGGTTCTATTATATCTGCCCTGTTCAATGGATATTACGCAGTATTATAAAATCTCAGCTTGGTGATATGGAAACAACGATTGTGGGACCAGGATTCAAAGGCACTGTGAAAGAGTATATATCTGCAACTCTTGGATATGATCAGAAAATGAACGGAGTATCGTCTGTAGGTCTTTCAGTGATACTCCTTCTTGCATTTAGTATCCTATTCTTTGGTAGTTTTGCTACATCTGTTAAAGTTTTTAATTTCCAAAAGAGATAAAAGATATGAATTATTAGGTTTCCACGTCATAGTAGTAGATGATTTATGCATTGGATAAGATTTTGGGAGCCTGGGAATCAATTTTGGGGTTACTACAAATTATGTTACCAGCCCAGAGAGCAAAAAGAGTTCAACTCTTTCCAAAGTTTCTCAGGCTGTTGAAGAAACTGCAGCGGAGCAGAACTCAAGGTTGTACCAACAAGGGTACATCTTTTACACCCAAATCTCCAATCCTTCATCTCAAGAGATCCTTCTCTGCAAAATCAGTAGCCTCTGTTGGAACCGAACCATCACTGTCTCCAGCAGTTCAAACCTTCTAGAAGTGGCTCCAGGAAGAAGGTGTCATCACTGCCAAGACCCCTGTGAAAGCTAGTGTGCCATTGGGAAAATCTGGTTATAGTTCCAATGGCAGACTTGGTAAGAACCTTTTCATTTTCTCTTCTTCTGTCAATATCCTTCAACAGAAAAGAAAAATGACATTTTGAAAATTGGATTTCTGGATCAGATTAACCAGTGTCAGAGTTATTACAGAGGGTCATGCTTATGAAGTTAAAGGAGCAGCTGGTCTTTTCTCTTGGGATTGCCTATTTTTCTTAAAAAGCCCCCTTTCTGTCAAGGCCGGAGAACAGGTGAACTTTCTTTTATGGTCGCGTTGATAACCGAGCAGATGATAACATAACTTTCGATCATAATATTGTTTACACATAACAATGAAAGCAACTTTTAGGCAGGTATATATCCAATATGATTTGAACAAAAGCAATGCATAGTTGGCTCTAGACTACGACTTCATTGAACCGAATGAAAGTCGACATGCATACACTTTGACACTGGAGATATCAGAGTCAGACCCTTTTTTTATGACAAACTAGACGCTGTTGAGGCCTATGGTTTTACTCAGACATTGTACTTTGACATCTTCTATAGTCGCACTCTTCCACCTGGATTGCTTCCATATCTGAGACTAGTTGCGCTATGAGGTATCGACGCTTTCTTATTGGAATCACTGTTCAGAGACACCATATGGGGTCATCTTGAGTTGTCTGTCAGCCGTGACAATGAAGAGCTACTATGCAAAGCGGTTCGAGACGCCTGCAAATCTGCCCTTGTCGGTTATCATACAACCATTGAACAGGTATGACAAATACAATTAAAGTAACCTCGTTACATTTTCCAATAGTACAGGGTGTTTAAATTGTTAAAACTTTGAAGCTGATCTGATTGATATTAACTGATAAACAAATATTGAACAACTATGCCATCTGAAGGTAATGAATACCCAGTGGTGCATACTTTTCCAAACTACAATTTAGGTTTCATGCCCCCAATGTTGGAAACACAGTCAGCACAAATTGATAATTTCGAGTCTCAGGCACGCGATATTTCTCGGCTTCCAAGCTTTGTTGTGAGTCCCTCTGACCTATTTTTGTCATTTCTTTTGTTTACTGTTTAATTTACTAAGCATTTTTTTTCTTACCAAGTTATATTTAACAATAATTATATTATTTATTTAAATTATTGATATATTATTTAGATACTTTAGAAGTTTTGATATTTTACATAAACTTGATTTTGCAGGATTTAGAGGATGGAGAATTGGTGAGAATACTTTCAAAATGTAGTCACGTATATCATTTGGAATGCATTAACAGGTGGCTACAACAACAAGGATCGTGTCCTATTTGTAGAACTTACATTCTTCAATAGTTTTGTGTTTTTTGTCAAATCTCTTTTTTGTGTGTTCCAAGAGAGTAACTATAATTGCAAGCTTTAACTTTATTATATGGTAGCGTAAACTCTATTTTTGACCACATAAAATTTGTAACAGGGTGAAATGTAAGAATTGTTATTTAATTGAATTTTGCAAATAATTTATGGTTTAAACTTTTATATAAATAAAACATTTTTAATAATATAACTCTAGAAGTATTGTTATTGACTTTATAGTTATGCTTGGTTGCTTTAAAAATTTGAATGTGATTTGTGTCGCATTGTCATATTCAAATTAGATATTTGGTTTATATTATTATATTTAACAATAATTGTAATATTTTAAATATAAATTAAACAAAATTAACAAAAAAAACTAAAAACATGAGAGAGAAATTACATGCGAGTTTACCTGCGGATTTTTGTTTTGCTGCGACATTTCCTACGAAAACTTCATTTACCTGCGTTGTTATTTGCGAATTTATCTAGTTTACCTGCGACTTTTCCTGCGACCGTTTCCTGCGACATTTTCCTGCGACTTCACCTGCTATATTAATTACCCACGAAGGTTTTAGCTGGGAACAGAAAATAGCAGGAAGAATCGCAGGTAACATGTTTATTGCGAAAATTTTGTCAATATCCACAGGAAAACGGAGTATTTCTAGTAGTGTTAGGTTGATATTGAAAAGACACAATAATTCTTTATCGTGCAATAATATTGTGTTATTATATCTTCAATAGTCTACATTTGTCAGGTCATAATATGAAAGTACAAGTAAATATCAATACTCCTATCGAGTATGATATTGTGTTATGAAGGTACTTATAATTAAATGTAATTACTTTGTTAATAGGGTATTCCTATATGTAATTACTATTCTTAGACCTATGTGGATATTCTATGACCTATAATTTAAAACTCATTAGTATAATCACTAAGCATAGACTTATACACATGAGTAAGTCTTATGATACTTTGGGTTAGTGGGAGTTTATCAATAGCATTTTCATATGCTTGAGCCATTCTTTATAACATATTACTCTGAAGTTAAATATGTTACTCTAAAGTCATCATTTTTTATATAAAGTTGTGAGTTTTAACATGTATAATTTGTCTTCCCTATCGGATACAATTTCTACAGCGTTGAAATTTACTTCTTTTGATTGATTGGTGTTTTGACCATTATTGATATTCTAATACTAGAATCAATATTTTTAATAATTAATTATTGTCATCCAAGTGAGAGATTGTTAGATTAATTATTTAATTAATCAAATATGAATTGACATAATTAATTATTAATTAATTATATTATGGTCTATTGTTATTAAACACTAAATAGATGAATTGCTTGATTGAGTTTTGTGCCTGAATGGACCGTAATGGGTTGGACCATTCAGTTAAGTCCAATGAGAGGTCCCTGCCCTCAGCCGTTTAGTTTAGCTATTTAAGTGTCTCCCCATTAGACAATTAAACTACTCTGAAAATCTTAAACGGCAATGAGTGTAGTAATTCTCTCATACTCACAAGCTTTGACAACCGTCTCTTTAATCTTATAAGGTACACCGTTCTAATTATTCTTGATTATTTTTAGATTAAAAAATATGCTATATTTTGTATCTATTAAATTCATTTAAATCCTTCAATTACCTCATTAAAAAAAAATCTAAAAAACCGGTTCAGCTTAAAACCAATTCGGTTTGATGCGGTTCTCGGGTTCACTTTGATTTTCTTGAACACCCTATGCAATCTTGAAAGTGCCATGTGTCAAACAGTGGTGGCATCCTCGTACATCCACGTGTATGATGTTGTCACCTTAAACTCCTCCTTTTTACACAAGATTGCAAGTAACGTGTACCCTTTACCACCTTTAGCACTTCAACTTCTACATAGCACAGTCCATATTTCTATTAAAAAGTTATTGGATTTCAACTCCATTTTATTTCTCCATGGCTCTTCATATAAACAGTGGATGTTTTACCATAATGGGTCACTCTAGAATTCAAAGAATAAGAGCTGTTGCTTCAGATGGATCTTCAACTCTTAAGACAGTTGAAGACAAGGTGAAATTGGGCGGCTCTGATTTGAAGGTGACTACAATTGGAATTGGTGCTTGGTCATGGGGTGATACTACTTACTGGAACAATTTTCAGTGGAATGGTAACTTTTTATTTTATGTTTTTGTATTCATTGTTGATTCAAATAAATTGATTCTGTGAAATGGTAATTGTAGATAGGAATGAGAAGGCTGCTAAAGAGGCTTTCGATGCAAGTATTGATGGTGGTTTAACCTTTTTCGACACTGCTGAAGTTTATGGCTCTGGGGTGAGTGTAGTAGGTGTAATGTATATCTTTTTGGGTAGAAATCATGTAATTTTGCGCGCAACTGCAGACACTAATGGGCAGCATACTTCTTCCTCAAGAGAATTTGACCCTCCTGCACGGTTGTGTTCGAACCCAAAACCACTGATTAAGTTGGATGGGTAATGATTTTTTTTTATCGAATATTCATTGATGAGTTTTAAATTCATTAGTTTTTCCTATTTTTAGCTTGCTTTCGGAGCCATAAATTCAGAGACACTTCTTGGAAGGTAACACTTACATTTTTGGTGTAATTTTCACATGCAGTTTATAGTCAAGGGTCACACATTAATGGTTATATGTGTTTGTCATTTGAAGATTTCTTAGAGAAAGAAAAGAAAGGGATCCAAATGTTGATGTTGCAGTTGCAACCAAGTTTGCTGCACTGCCATGGAGATTAGGCCGTCAAAGTGTTATCAGTGCACTTAAGGATTCCCTCGGTCGACTTGGAATGACTTCGGTGGATGTGTATCAGCTTCATTGGTCTGTATTTTATGAGTCTTTTGAATGATATTTATTTCTAACAAAGATTATGTTTTTGATGAAGTAATGCACTTGTTTTTCAGGCCGGGAGTATGGGGAAATGAAGGTTGTTAAGTGTACCAATTTAATTCATTGAACTATTCATTTGATATAGTTAATGGAACTTTTGTTTATTATGATTCGGTCGCGAATGGATTACTTTTTAGGGTATATTGATGGTCTAGGTGATGCTGTTGAAAAGGGACTTGTAAAGGCTGTTGGTGTTTCAAACTATAGTGGTAACTCTCAATGATAATTATCTTCTATGTAGCATTGATACTTCATATTGAAGGCTTTTCAAAGTGTTCAGACACTATCACGACGACGCTGACACATGTGATTACATATAATCACTTCTATTATCTCAAGTTATTTTCGATGTCAGTATCGTGTCTAGTGTTCATGTCATTGTTTCATGTATTATGAGCATATGTATTTAACATTCAGTTTTTGATGTATCAAGAAAAACGACTCCGAGAGGCTTACAAAAGACTAAAGAAGAGAGGTATTCCGTTGGCCTCAAACCAAGTAAACTACAGCCTTATCTATAGGACCCCTGAAGAAAATGGCGTGAAGGCTAGCTGCGATGAACTGGGGATTTCATTGATCGCCTATTCTCCAATAGCTCAAGGTGAACAACTCCTTTTGAGTATTCATCATATTAAATATGATGTCAAAATTTTATACTCAAATCGTAGTTTGGATATCAAAAGAATAATATTTGTAATCGAGCACACACATAGTTTAATTAAGTGCTTATAAGTATAAGTTCTTTATCAGGTGTTCTAACCGGAAAGTATACTCCTGAAAAGCCCCCAAGTGGACCTCGAGGCCGAATTTATACTCCAGAATTCCTTACAACGGTACACAGCCATTACTGTTTTTCTGAAATTTGAAGATCCAATAAATTTTACCAATATTACTAGCTTCCTCAAGTGCTTTTGCATTTTTATATCGCAGCTCAAACCTTTGCTGAACAAGATCGCCGAAATAGGAGACAAGTACAACAAAACTTCTACTCAGGTTCATACTAAGTTGAATATTTGAAACACTAGTGTAATGTTTGTTCTGAGACATTTTCTGAGGAGCATAGAAATCTTACAAATTGATTCTGTTTAGGTATCACTGAACTGGCTTGAATTGATTCTGTTTAGGTATCACTGAACTGGCTTGTAGCTCAAGGCAATGTTATACCGATTCCTGGTGCTAAGACAGCAGAGCAAGCTGAAGAATTTAAAGGTGCACTTGGGTGGAGATTGGACAATGATGAAGTAGCTGAGTTACGAAGTTTGGCCTCCAAAATTAAGCCTGTTATTGGTTTTCCAGTTGAAAAACTCTGAAACATGCTTAAGCGGTTAATTAATAGTTGCAGCATACATACTCTACTATATCATTTGTAAAGTTATACAAGTAGTTCTGTTAAAGAGAAAAAGAAATTGTGAAAGTAGGCCGAGTTTATCGGTTACACCTGTTCTGTACAATTTTTCCGGACTCTAATAGTTTTTTTTAATTATTCTTTAGAACTAATGGTTCAATAGGTTGGATCAAAACCAGATTGAACTCCAGCAATGAAATCCGAATTTTATACGAGTCTGTCTTGTTAAATTAATCACAATTTAACTGTTACACCACTTGTCTAGTTTTTCCGGACTCAAACGGTTCCATAGGTTAGATCAAACTTGATTCAGGTCAACTGATTGTTCATCCAGTTTTGTTTTTAACATATTGATCTATACAACTCAAATTTGAGTTACCAATTTACCAATTTACGAGATATCATTTTCATATACAACTCAAATTTGAATAGCCAATTTACCGATTTATGAGATTTCATTTCCAAGAACAATACTTGAGAAGAAAATAAATTTCAAAGAACAATATTTCACTCAAGAGTGAAATTTAATTCAAAACTTTTGTTAGAAAGTTAATCACTTGTATTCATCCGGCTCGACTTTAAGGCAAAACAACCAAGGCAAACTAAAATTCTAAAAAGTTTATTTTAAATTTATTGAATAAGGCTCTTAGGGAAAAATAGTTAATAGTTAATTGATGTTGATAATTTGGTTGTTTTATTATCTTATATATATATATCACTTATGTTGCAGTTGTAATATATTTTTAAAATCTGACATGGCTATTTCTTTGGTTTGTCTAATTTTATTAATCCAATCATATTAATTTAAATTATGAATAACATTTCCAACTTTAAAAATAACATTTCTGACTTAAGAAATAACATTTTTCAACTCTTCACTTACCAACACAAACCCACTATTCTCTTAAACTTTTCACTTGTGAACCCTAGCTCACTCTTGTCATACTCTGAAACTTGTAGCCGCGAAGAAAACCATTATGTTTGATATTTGGAGCGACGAAGAAGACGAATACATTAATGTTTTCACCATTGTTCATTTCAAGTTTTCTTCTAAGCAATCAATCCTTGTGTTGGGATAGTCCATACAAAATAATGCTTCGAATTTAAACACGACTCCCACTAGTGGACGGTGGGATTGGTCCCCTTGGATTAGTCGGTCGCAAGGCCGGATACCAAGATTTCAAGAAAAAAAGTTTTCTTCTAAGGTATGATTATTTATTTATTATTTTAAAAAGCAAACCTTTTTCATGTTCACCTTCTTCAAAGACCGATTTCTTCATTATTTAGTCCGATTAGGTCTTGACTAATAGGTTTCAGTGTGTTGTCCATCACGAGGATGTGATTGTTGAGTTTAAAAAATTAGGTTACAAGGGGTTATAGGAGATTTGGGAAGTAGACCCTGGTTTCTAGAGTTATTTAGAGGTTTTGAGTGGTATAAAGGATTTAGGGTACTCAAAAGTGGAGAGTTTGTGGTATTATGATGCAATGGATATTGATGAGCTAGTTTTGTTGAAAGATGATGAAGGAATAAATAAAATGAAAATCATAACATTGATTAATGGGAATGTGAATTTATATGTCATTTATCCACTCCCACAACCAGATTATATTAAAGAGTCAATACTCTCTTTAGAAAACAATTAGAACCCAATGAAAAAGGATGAAGAATGTGAGATACAAGAAAAGGAGAATTTGGATGATTTGAATAGTGCAGAAAACAACAATTTAGATGATTTTAATAATGGTGTAAAAGGTACTTTTGAAGATTTGGATAATCTAAGTGAGAAGTTTGATGAAGGAGGGACCACTGATGTAGAATGGAAAAGGAATCACAAAAAATAAATCATTGGATTGTTAGGTAAAATTGTGCTTTGTGTACTGATAGATTGTGATAGGTTGTGCTTTGTTGTGTACTGATAGATTATTATATTAAAATTGTGATTTGGATTTTCTACATCTATTATATACGTGTAGGTGAATTTGACTACGAGGTCAGGTACGTATCATTCAATGGAGAAAAATTCATTGTCAATCTTTCAAAACATGGATGTTCATGTATAAGGTAGATGCTTATAAGGTTGCCATGTTGTCATGCAATTTCATGCATGAAAGATTAGCACTTAGAAGTTGATGATTTTATGCCTTATTGTTACGAAAAGGATTGTTATAAGGCATGGAAGACCAGCACCCCTTCATTTGCTAGTCATCCAACACCATCTGCATCTACTAGTCAGCCAACACCATATGCACCTGCTAGTCAGCCAACACCATCTACACCTTCAACTCATGAAGCACCATCTAAAACTTCAACTCAACAAGCACCCGAAAATAAAAAAGGAGGCTTCAAAAAGGCCTAAAACTTGTTGTGAGTCAACCTTAATAGTTATGTTTTTCTATTTTGACGTGTACTGGTTGATGTAATGACTTATAATGCCACTTTGTAGCTTATGGCTTATAATTACATTTTTTTTTGTATTATATGGCTTATAATGCCACTTTTGTGTATCATATTTTATAATTTCATTTTGAATTAAATTATGTAATTATGTTGATAACTATTGGAATGATATGGTTATGTAACACAATTCCAAATTATATGCATTTTGTTTTATTGTGGTCCCACATTATTATATCAGTGTTTAGTAGTTTGGTATCAATGATATGGGCAGAGTATTCCCAAAATAAATCTCTTATCATAATATTATCCAATAAACCAACAAAAACACATTTATAAACTCATGGCACACAAAATACATAAACTCATGACAATGTTAATTGCACTCATAATATCATGACAGATACAATATACTCATAAACTCATGACAATGTTGATTGCACTCATAATATCATGACAGATACAATATACTCATAAACTCATGACACAAAAGTACATTTATAAACTCATGGAACACAAAATATATAAATTCATGGCAGTGTTGGTTGCACTCATAAACTCATGACAGATATAATACACTCATAAAATCTTGATATATAAAATCCCAATCTAAAAATACAATGTTATAAAAACAACATTCAACCCTAAGCTCAAAATCCCAACCACAATGGACATTTTCAATGATCCTCTAGTGTGGAGGACCTTATTCTTCAATTTATAATTTTTCTTCTTTTGACTTTGAATCTCAAATCTCTTTCATCAACAATTTCGTCATCTAACCACTTGAAGAAATTACAACCCTTATTCATATGAGTTATGTAATTTCTACAACCCCAATTTTTTTTTCCAAAGTTCACATTGTTCATATCACTCACAGTATAAATGACACATTCATCTTGGCAAAAACACTCACTCCTTTTGTTTCTATGAAGTATAATCCAGTTGTTCCAATGAAATGATTGTTTGGTATTGAAGCACTGCTTGACAACTTTGAGATTGGAGAATATGAAAATCCTAGAAATGCAGTATTAAAATCCATAAAAGTGGAATGAAACTTGAAACGCAACTTGATTAAAATGCGTATGAAAACGCAAGATACAAAAAACCTAGAAAAATATATTAATGAAAGAAGAAGCAACTTGAATACAAGAGACAACAAAAACTTATGGAAACGCAAGTTGAATACAAATGAAACCCTTAAACGATTTTTAAATCCTTTTACTGGGTTATTATTTTACCAATTTCCTAGTTGTCATGCCACGTTGGTAACCGTTAACGTTTTTTTTATAGAAAATTTAACGGAAGGAACCAACAATGCTGACATAACTAATTTTAAGGGACCAAAGTGTAACTTTTTTTTAGATAAATGATTAAATCGAAACATTGAATTAAGTTAAGGGACTTGATAACTAATTATACCAAAAAAAATTTTAATTATACTTTAAAAGTGGAAGATCATCTTATAAAAGGGACAAGAAAAAAAAACTCAAGAAGATTTTATAATTAGAGATAAAAGTAGTATATGTAAAAATATTTATAATTAATGTCACAACAAAAATCTAAATAATTGACTTTATCCTTGCTTAAAATGTTTGAAGAATAATATTTCAGCCAAAATTTAGTAAGGTTACCTAAATATTTTTGTTGACTTTAAGAAGTCTCTTTTAGTTTTTAACAAAAGGGTTTCAAATTAAATTCTGTCATAGGCTTTCTAATGTAATGGGCTAGTTTTTGTGTTGAGTTTATTGCGGGCATTTAACTTGTCATCTCTCAGTTGTACCTGACACTCCCTTAAATTCATGAATTGACTATATCAGCCTTAAAAAAATTTCACACATTTTCAAAATCCAACAAACATTTGCGGAAATTTCAAAAATCCTGAGTGTTGCACCCCAAAATTTGCCCAACATTTCTTTACCTAGCTTATGTTTCATTTCATTCACATTAGCATTATCATTTGCATTTCATTGACATGTATGCAGGAGATCAAGAGGTATGATTACCAATCAAGGGCTACACAAGACTCTGAAGCTAGCTAAGAAGGTTATTCAGAGGTTCAAGGGTTGATATCCTTGTCAGAGAAGTTAAAAGATCCTCAGAGAGAGTGATTGAAGCCAAGTGTGTAGGTCTTCTAACTTGAGAGTTGTGGAAAGCCATCAGATGATTCTGAGGTCATGAAGATGGACTTGAGGTCTTGAGAGAGTTCATGAGAAGTCTTGAAGATCACTTTGAGGCCTAGACAGGTCATTGTGCAAGATTAAGAAGACTCAGCCATGAGTGGTGTAGCTAGGGTTTGACTGGGTCAACCCTAAGTCAACTGATGATTTGAACAAGGTTGAGACCTAATTCAAAGGCCATGTGATAATGGATTGATACATTGAGATGTTATAAGGATGATTCCAAGGTCAACTCATCATTATTGAAGAGTTTGAGAAGTTTCAAGCTAGGGTTTCTAAGGATTGATAGTGTAAAATCCCCTAGTTTGACCCCTATCTTCAAGGCAGTTTAGCTCAAGATGTGATTGTAATCTCATCTTACCCCCAACATGAATGTTGTAGAGCTTGATCTTA